ATCATGAGTAAAAGTTTTTCAAAGATGTTACAGATAAGTGTGGAAAAGGAAGGTTTAGCATTGTTTTAGATTAATAAGACCCAAACAGTTACTGACATACCACCACTGCACCACCAACACATCACTGACACAACACCAATGCATCTAGTACATTATTAGGATAAATGGTGGCCAACACATTGGTAGGATTGAATTCTTTACCTTTACCAAAAAATGGATATAGTTTATTACTTCATTTTCCTGAAGAGATCACAGAAAGAGAGAAAAAATGCTGTACATTCAGGAAAAGCACTTTGTATTTTGTGGGATTCACCACCATTAATTGTATCATTTGCTCACCATTTACAGTAACATTTAGGCTCATACTGTATGCTGTTCCAGCAGAGTTGTTTGCCATACATTTGTAGATGGACACTCCTCCACTTGACATATTCCTGCTCCACATTCCAAGACTGTTGCTGCCATCACTCACAGGTGAATCATTCTCCAACAACTGATATTTATCTACAGCAGGAATTCCCTCTGCTGAACAGTTGAAGGTCACCACAGTGCCCCGGCACACAGTTGATTTACTCACTGTGAACTTGAAATTCTCTGGTTTATCTGTTAATGTTAAATCAGAAATAGAACAGTATAAACAATATACATTTATACCTGTCAGTTAGGGTTCTCCAAAATTTCATTGCATTTCATTGATTCATATCAATTTCCAGTCCTAAGGAAAGCCTTAACATGTGTAATTAACACGCATTTGATGTCACCATTCAGCTGCTGACACATCCTCCCCTTCAAATTTCCACTGTCAGGTTAATGAATACTTGAAAAGTAACGACACAGCATTCACCACTCTCAATCGAAGGAAGTTTGTCAAAATTGTCATGGATTATGGCTGTTAAAAAACTGAGATGTTAAGTAATGAACAATATAATGTATGGCTGCCTGTAGATATGAATTTCTTTGGTTGAGTGGAACTTGATGTATCAAGATGAACACTAAGAAAGATATTTCATATCAGGTGTGCCCATATATTAATCTCTTTAGTTTCCAATGCAGTAAAACAATGCAGCCTCCCATGTGCTTCTTACTCAGTCTGTATTAATTAGTTCAAAACAAGCTTGAAAGGAGATAGGAAAGTGCCTCACAGCTCAGAAATCTAGGAACTTACACTATCCCTTAACAAACAGTGGAAAATGTGCTACAAGATAAACCTTAATGTAGGCAGACATACTTTCACTCAATTATTAATTAATAATAACTACTTACAGAGCACAGTGAGGAAAGTGCTAGCAGAGCTATTTCCACAGTCATTTATAGCTTCACATTTGTATTCACCAGCATCATTCCTGCTGATGTTTGCAAGATAACGCATGATTCCATTGGACTGATTACCAGTGCTAACTTCTGTCCATGTCACAGTCAGCATACTTCCAGAAGCATTACATGTTAAAGTCCTGTTTTCACCCTCTACCACTGTGATGTTCTCCAAAGGATAAACTTTAGAGGGTACTGCATGGCCAAAAAAGAGAGTGCAAAAGTACATAACACTATTAATTTCCTACACACTCATCAAATTTTCTCTTTCTTTCATATATAATTATAGTACCAGTATATAACTATACATAAACACATAAATTCATTAAAATATAATTATACATTTGTATAATGCCAAAGTAAATGTATTCCTTTGAAATGAAGAAACTTTGCAGCTTGAACTCATTTCACAATAT